TCGGTATGATGTCATCCTTGGAATGCCATGGATGGAACAATATAATCCGAAGGTAGATTGGAGAAGAAAAGTGATTACAAGTAGCGGATGGAAGATCTATGGAGATAGAATTAGATCTCAGAATAGGAATTTACCCCTCTTTGTGATGGGTACAGCATCCATTTCTAGAGATGATGTATGTTTCCTTGGACTTATAAGAGATATTGGGTCCACGGACAAACCTTACATCCCGGAGTCCTTGAACGACATTTTTATGGAGTATAAAGATGTTTTTCCAGATGATCTACCTGCAGGATTACCACCAAAGAGGCGAGTTGATCACAAGATTGAGGTGATACCTGGAAGTACACCAACTTGCAAAGCTCCATATCGTTTGGCTCCAAACGAATTGGAAGAATGCAAAGCTCAAGTGGAGGAGATGTTGAGCAAGGGATTCATTCAGCCAAGTGTTTCACCTTATGGAGCTCCAGTACTCTTTGTGAAGAAGAAGGATGGATCCATGAGACTATGTATCGATTATCGCGGGTTGAATCAGCAAACGGTGAAAAACAAATATCCATTACCTCGTATGGATGATTTGTTTGATCAACTTCAAGGAGCGAAGTACTTCACCAAGCTAGATTTGAGAAGCGGCTACAATCAAATTCGAATTGCAGATGAAGATGTTCACAAGACAGCTTTTCGTACTAGGTATGGACACTTTGAGTATCTGGTGATGCCTTTTGGTCTCACTAATGCACCAGCTACATTCATGGGATTGATGAACGATATCTTTCGCCCTTATCTAGATAAATCTGTCATTGTTTTTCTAGATGATATATTGGTGTATAGCAAAACTTTGAGTGATCATAGAAGTCATTTACGAGAGGTACTTCAAGTTTTAAGAGACAATCAATTGTATGCCAAAGCTTCAAAATGTGAATTTGGCAAGTCAGAAGTAGATTACTTGGGTCATAGAGTTACAGCTACAGGAATCCAAGTGATGAGTGAGAAGATAGAGGCCATTCAGAAATGGATAGCACCTGAGGATCAAACTCAATTGAAGAGTTTTCTAGGGCTCACTGGATTCTATCGTAGATTTGTGAAAGGTTTTGCTCGACTAGCTCAGGCCTTGACTTCCATGTTAGGGAAAGGTCAGAAGTGGAGATGGGGAACAGCTCAAGAGTTAGCTTTTCAAGCATTGAAAGATGCTTTGTTACACGCACCTATTCTCAAGTGGTATGATCCTAACCGTTCTATCAAGTTGGCCACTGACGCATCAGGTACAACAGTAGGTGGCATACTTCAACAAGAATGGGAGGATGGATGGCATCCAGTTGCTTTCTATTCTCGAAAGTTGGTGGCGGCGGAACAAAATTATCACACGACAGAACGGGAGGAGTTAGCTATCGTGTTGGCAACCAAACATTGGAAGCATTATCTGGGTGATAAGGAGTTTGTGGTGGAGACTGATCATAAACCCTTGGTTTATTTGGAAACTCAGAAGGATCTGTCCAAACGACAAATTCGATGGGCAGAGTGGCGTCAACGCTTCAACATGAAGATTGTGTACGTGGAGGGAAAGAAGCAACTTGCAGATGCTCTCACACGCATGCCTTGTTTGAATCATGTTGCAGAAGTGAAAATTCAGGCGGATTGGTGGAGCAAGATGTCACAAGCCACAAAGGAGGATGAAGAGATCACTCGAGCACTACAAACTGGAAAGGCAGAGAAATCTCGAGGTTTGGCGTTTTACAATCAGCGTATATGGATTCCACAAGATCACGATTTGCGCACAATGATTTTGGCAGAAAGTCATGATACAGCCATTGCAGGTCATGTGGGAGTGGAGAAAACCGTGGAGAGTATACAACGAGTGTACTTTTGGCCCAAAATACGTGAGGATGTGGAGTCTTACGTTCGAAGTTGTGTTGCTTGTCAACAAAACAAGGCAAGTAATCAAAAACCAGCGGGTTTATTACAACCTCTTCCTATTCCCGAACAGCGGTGGGAACATGTCACCATGGATCTTGTATGTGAGTTACCAAGGACTTCGTTAGGACATGATTCAGTGGTGGTTTTTGTGGACAAATTGAGCAAGATGATTCACATCAGGCCAACCACAAAAACAGTAACAGCTCCACAACTAGCTCAATTGTATCTAGACGCAGTTTTTGTGAATCATGGCTTAAGCAAAGTGTTAATCACGGATAGAGGTACTCACTTCACTAGTTTATTTTGGAAAACTTTGTTTAGTTTTTTCAAAACAAAACTAGCAATGTCAACGGCCTATCACCCTCAAACTGATGGACAAACTGAGAGGGCAAATAGAACCATAGAGGATATGCTACGAGCATTCACATTAGAAGAGCAAGAAGAGTGGGACAACCTTTTGCCACTTGTGGAATTTGCATATAACAATTCTGTTAATGCATCCACAAAAGTGTCTCCATTTTTTCTTATGTATGGAGCTCATCCGATAACTCCTTCAAGTTTGATGAGACTTCCGAAAGGAGAGGAGTTTTCGACCAAAGTTGCAGCAGTCAACGAATTCATGGAGCATATTCACCGAGGACTACATCAGGCCAAGGAGAAGTTGGTGATAGCTCAAAATCGGCAAAAGCAGCATGCCGATGCTCATCGTAGAGAAGTGAATTTTGAGGTTGGAGATCATGTTTGGTTATCTACAACGAATTTGTCTCTTGTAGGAACACCAAAGTTAAACCCTAGGTACATTGGTCCATTTTTGGTTTTGAAGCGTGTTGGTGAAGTGTCATACAAGTTGGAACTTCCGTCACATATGAAAATACATCCAGTATTTCATGTGTCACGATTGCGAAAACATGTACCACGACCAAAACAATTCACCAATCAACCAGCACCACCTCCTCTTCCAACCTTGATAGCAGATCATGAGGAGTTTGAGGTAGAAAAGATACTCAAGAAACGTATTCGAGGTCATAAATATCCCAAAGTAGAGTATTTGATTCAATGGAAAGGCTATCCATCGTATGAATCAACTTGGGAACCAGCTAAAAATTTAGCAAATGCACCTTTGATAGTTCAGGAGTTTGAACGTATGTGCAACGAGGACGTTGCATCTTAAAAGGAGGGAGGTTTGTAACCATCTTTAGTTAGTTAGAACTAAAGTAGAGGTTACTCTGAATATTGATGTAGATACTTTAGTGTGCACTAGTCATAGCTGCCACGTCAGCGATCCGCGCACTTGGTAGGTACAGAGTGGATGTGTTAGTTGACAGTGCCACGTCAGCAATCCGTGTGCTTGTAGGTAAGGATTGAGTGTGTTAGTTAGTGTGTTAGTTGGGTGCGCCACGTCAGCGATCCGTGTGCTTGTTAGGGTTATCCGCCACGTCATCCATCCACTAGGAGTGGTATGGATGGTGGGGATTAGATCTTATCACCTTGTACTTGTTGGTGAGAGCTATATAAGGGAGAGGAGAACCATTGTTGGTATCTCTCATCTTCAGAGTTTACGTTTCTATCTTCGAGTGAAATTCTCTCTAAACCCTAGTGTTACACGCACCCACGAAGGTGTATAGCATGTAGTTGTAGATGGGGCTACTTGGGAGTCAGAGGGACATGACCGCCAGCTAGGGGGGCGAGTTGTGACATTTGAGTGTGTACTCTCTCGTGCCTTATATGTGTGTATGTGTGTGCGTATGTGTATGTGAGTAGCATGTCAGCGATGTAGAGTGTATGGCGATATGTATTCGCACGACATATAACTTATCAAGTTTTGGCTGCCCCAAATTTTTTATAAACTTATATTCAGGTTGATGTGCTTTCCGAGCTACATTTGTACGACTATGATCGACTAAAGAAACTTGTAATGGTTGTCTGACTAAGCTTTTGTTCACATTTGTTTGTTGGCTGCTTAAGTATCTGACGTGGGTTAGGGATTTTCCTGGATTAAGTTATTTACATTTTGAGAAGTTTTCTTCTACACAGTCCAACTGTATACAGTACGCCAGGATACAGTGCCCTACACACCCCATTACAATACCAAAGCCAATACATACGGAACCTGGGTATCAAACAACTTCTATGTCTTTTCGAGGTCCTGCATTCCTTGCCGTAACTTTCCTAACCTTCCATACCTTTCTGCAACCTTCCGGATGGTTTTGAGACCAATCAAACAAAATTAAATGAATCAATTTTAATAAACTCTAAAAATTTATCACCTCTATAAACTTATCAAAAAGGGCCGGTCCCAGCTTGATAAGATTATAGAGGTTCTATTGTAATCAATTTATTCTCTCTCTCTAGTATATATATACAATTTTATGAAAAATACGTAACCAAAATAATTACATTTTTAACCTGAGGTTAATTAAAATCATCAACAATCCATCATGTATTTTTTTTTATTGAAAATCCATATAGTGATGTTATAAATTCAAGTGATTATTCACGAAAAAAGAATGTAGAAATTGAATTGATTATTAGAGTTAATGCATGAAATTATTTATAAAAATTATAAATGAATGTGAAAAATCAATGCTTTTTTTTGAAAATATCTTCAAGTTGATATACTTATCTCTGTACAGAAGAAAGTAAAACATCTAGATCCAAAACGTAATAGTCATCATGTGATCAAAATTGTTCGCATCATTCACAATGTATCTCTTATCGTCAACGTAATTGCTCAGAAGATAAACCGAATGACGATATTGGGGATCAAAACCATAAAAATTAACCCTTCTAATTTTTCAAATCAAATGATAGAATAAAGTCATTCGAGTAGCACTAAACTATAGGCTTGCAAATGGATGACTCTTCACGCGCTTACCAATTTGTAATATTTCTTCGTGGATAAGGAATTGGCCTAAATGGATTCACTACTAGAATAGATGGCGCCACATGCCGTTCGTCGTGAAGGCCATTTCTGCAGGGTAGGCGCTCACACAACACTCCCCTCCCCCAACGGTCACGTGACCGGGAATAGGGAAGAAAGAAGGCAACACCGGCTGGACCAGTCCTCGAGGATCTGTACAGACAGACAGACGAAGAACCGAACCAGAAAAAACAGACGACGACGAAAGCGCCGAGAGCAGCGCGCGCCATCGAGTGCAGTGGAGATGGAGATGGAGGTGGAGGCCTGCGGGTGCCGAATTCATTCGATTGCAAACCTTCGTGCGAGCAGACGGCGATGCACTGGCCGGATTTGTTTTCATTCGATGGATTCGGTTTGAGCGCTGGCTACTCCCTCAATCGAGCGTTCTGTCTGGACGATCATGTGCCCCCGAGCCTTCGTTTCCGGTCAGCGGGATTCTTGTCTTCTGTCGACGCAATTGGGGACATGCACGGCTGATGTGAAATTGGGGCCGATTTTGTAGCCAGGGGAGGGGAGGTTTAGCGTGTTTCCGGTGTTGAGGTTTTTGCGTAATGGAGAAACGGAAGAATTTCGGATATTGTAAATTGCGCGTGTGGAATCGATTCCGGATGGTATGGCTGAACGAACAATGACAGGATTTTCGGCGTGTCGGGGCGAGGAGCAGTAGAGGGAGATGAGCGCGGCGATCATCAATGTGTGTAGAGGTAGGAGGAATCCAAGCTCTGGTAGTGAGAAGACGGTCCTCAAACGCGTGACGCATACGGGATCGAGCAAAGGAGATGGACAGAGAGGGAAATCGCAGATTGTGAAAATGGGCACAGACCAGCAAGCAGCACCGCCGGGCAAGAAACGCAAAGGCAAACTTCCGGATGGTCGCGCCAAGGAGCCGTCGAGTCCATTGAGGCGAACGCGCAGTAAGACTGCGGTCGGCATTCTTTCCAGGGATGACAGGAACATAGGCTCGCTTGCCGAGGCCAAGAGCGGTAAGCACATTGGCTTGGGGAATCGGAAGCGGGGCCGAGACACACTAGCAGTATCACTTGGCGCTCCGACGTCGAAAAAATCTCCCGTCCGAACTCGATCCACATTCTTGCCGCATCTGGCCAAGATTTCGGAGGAGATTTCCGGGTCGGAGGAAGAAAATGCAAATTCCGGAATGGGCCGCGGGACGCCTCGACGGATTGGGATCGTTTTGCGGAGAAATGTGACCGCGCAGCGCAAGGTTGTGACGAAGGAGCCGCAGAAAGCAGCAGCAGGGACCGAGAGGAGGAAAGCGGCGAAAAAACCCGCGGCCAAAAAGTCCGCGACCGTTGTGGTGAATGTCGCGAGGGCAAGAACGACGCCGCAGTCTGGACTACAAGAGCTGCGAACTGATCCTCCCGCCAGACGGAAGTCGGAATTTGACGAGACCAACGTCTCCATGGCGGCACTTGCCGCGCTGGATTTGAATGGAACGGCCGACGACAATGTGAGAGTCACTCGCAGTAAGAGCACCACCAACGCGTTGAGAGTTGCCGACGACGCAACGGGCTTCGTGCGCACAGCTCTGAATGCAGTAGCGGAAGCGAGACTTCGGGAGCAGCAGCAGCAGCAGGCCAAGAAGCTGGTGGGTGAAGAAGCGGGGGCCGCTGCTGTTGCTGTTGCTGCTGAAGCGGGCTCGAAAGATGAAATTCGAAGCAACAGCAATGGGTCGACTCGAAGCAATCGAAGTAGGTCGAGCATAACTGCAGAAAAGCTGATCCAGGAGCTGGATTCGTTCCGCCTGGCGTCCATGGAGCAGGGTGTAGATATGAAAGAGAAGCTGCGCAAAGGTATCACTCGGCTCACGAGATCGAGCAGCAGACTTGCCAAACAACAACAGCAACACGAAGGAAGTACCGCGTCGCTGAAGAAGGCGTCCACTCCCACGAAACTCCCGCGCGTTGCCAACAAGGAAAACCTTCCCAAAGCTACAGAATCTGCACTAGTGCGAAGACTGAAAGGCGACATCGAGGATCACGCCAAAAGATATGGACTTCTTGAGCAGGTAAGACCGCCTCTGCCAGGCCGTGCTGCCAGGAAGTCCGGATCCCGAACCCCAGCAGCAGCAGCAGGACTCGAACAGCAAGGTTCTGGACTCGAGGATTCCCCTGAGAGCTCACAGGATTGGACTCCTGAGCAGGAGATAGCCCTTCAGAACGCCTATGTGTCAGTGAAGCCCGCAGCGGACTTCTGGTACCATATATCGAAGCGGGTAAGGTTTCTAAACTGCAGAATTCCAGAAACTAAATTCCTGTCTCTCGGGCTTTATGTGCTCTAGGCTGAAAAAGGGCCTTGAGACGATAGATTCTAACCAAGGCGAGGGTGTGTCGACAGGTGCCGGGGCGAACAGCTGAAGAATGCTTCAACAAGTTCTACGCAGGGCATCCAACCCCACCCGCAGCTCAGCGGTCCAATCGTCAAGCTGGGAACGCTGCGGAGGACACCGCTGCCGCAGCCGCAGCCGACGATGACGATGTCCTCGGTAAGCCCAAGGGGAAGACTGCGAGAGGCAAGCAAAGGCTCCTGGAGGCGCACAGAACGATTCGAAACATTCTCAGGAAGCAGCAGGTGGATGATGAAGAATACGAAGCCGATGCCTTCGTCGCGCTGGAGCGTCCCGACGTCGTAAAGAGTGTTCTGAATATCGCGGAAGTGGAAATGGAAGCGGCCATCTTGAAGGTCACGGGTGTTCCGACCTGCAAGCCTGCTCCTGTTGTTTCTGAGACGAAATCGAGCATTCCGAAATTCGAGAATTCAGTGACCGGAGGACTTCCTAGCGACAAAGAGAATCGAAACATCAACGCCTTGGCATGCGGGAAAGGTGCGATCTTGGTTGGGTCTCCGGCAAAGCTCTGCAGCCCGGAAGTTCTGAAGAAGTTGAAGGATCCGACGCACCTGGACAAGTACATCGATCACTTGCATCAGAGACATTCGAGAAGACCCAGAACTGGAGGCCAGACGGTGGTCAAGAAGGCCAACGTCTACCTGCATTCGAAGGACGCTCTGGACTTTGGGGACGACCCAATCTTTGCCATCCAGCGTGCCAAGGAGGAACTAAGAAATGTGATTTCGAAGTCTGGTGCGGAGCGCAATTTTCTCGACGTTGTTGGTCCGGGACAGGAAGAAGAAGATGAAGACGAAGGAGAAGAAGGAGAAGAAAACGATGACGAAGATGAATATGATGGCGGGGTTTCCTACGATTGCGATGGCTAACGAGAACTTCGCGAATGAATATTCAGGGATTTTCTGGTTGATGGACATTGCCATTTCGCTCTACATTCCTTGCCGAGGACATTAGCATAAGCCCCTTGAGGTTCCGAAGTGACGAGAGGGAATGTCCTGCTCTTAGTTCCTTGCCACGTTCCATCAATTAATTGATGGAACTTGAGGGTTTCTGAAATTCCATGTCGACTACAACGTCGGCTCCATTTCGGTGCTCTGAGTGAGCATTTACTTCAGAGATTGCCTTTTGGAATTAGTGTACAGGAACCCAATACATAGACCACCTGAAGAATCTCAGCATTTCAGACTTTCAACATTAGAGCCCATCAACGACAAAGTCAATGCCGATCTAGTTGAGAGGTATACTAAACTACCTCACAGTTATTCATCAAATTGATGTATATTCGCACTGCTTGTGCATAATTCACACATGTACCTCTCGTAAAAGAAAGATAATATGGTCCATCTGTAAAGGAGAGGACATTGGTTCGACCAGGTGATTCTCTCAACGCAAGGGCACAATTCTTCGTTCCGATCAGACTCTGCTTGTCAATTTTAGCATCTGCGAACATTGTTCTTACGAATCTCACCCAAAGCTTACTTGGAAGAAGAACCTGCATCGCACAGAACGACTTGTTAGCACAGCGACCATACCAAGTGACCCACGGAGATTTCATCAAATTATTGATGAGTCTGACAATTAGCTGGACGGGAAGACCAACCCTGCCGATAGATGTTTGTCTAATGTATCAGCACCCTGCACTTTGGTACTGTCTTCTACTCGTGCATAACACTGTTCGATACAACCAGATCGACCATACCTGCATCTTTGACGTCAGATTCTACAAACCAAAGGTCTGGCTGTGTGCGGATCTTCCATGTGGACTGAATTCCTTTCTTTTATATCCTATGATCGTTCTGATGTATCACATAGCAGTCAGGAAGTTAATGAAAATCTGGTATTAAACATCTGATATCTTCGTAAAAGGAGTTGAAGAAATTCCGAAGACACAAGTCCCAAGATGACTGATGAAAACTTAGACTTAGTTCAGTGATAAGGTGAACAGGCTCCGGGCCACATCAGAAACGTCTGCTTTCCTGGTTCACGGAGGCACATCTAGTTTTGCGCGGAACAAAAAGGATGGACCGTGTTCTAAGTACTTATCTCTCCGGAACGCTTTGATCTAAACTTCATATCATGAGCCTCCACAGATACAACAGAGACGTCATATTGTATGTCTCTCGTTTAATGAGATTGGAGAGTCTAACTACTCATGGATCGAATAAGAAACGATGACTAGAAAGCTGAGAGCTGCGATCGACGATGAAGATCCGATTCAGGAAGTCCATGGTGTTAACGAACGTCCACCTCATGATCGAAAGCCGTAAACCAGCTGCCGGTTGCCCGATCTAACTTTGCTTGGGGTGCTCTAGAGCTTTTCGGAGATCCTCCTCCGATAACAGCTACGTAACCTCGATCTATCACTGCAAAAGAATGAATGCTCTCCTGTTCGAGCGCAATCCACTCTTTGATTCTTCCTTACGTGCTGTTGCCGGGCAAGGATCGGAGAGTTTATGTGGCGTAGTGTAGAATACCGTGAGATGAAGATTGTTACCTGCTGGAACATAGTGATCAATTGTGTACAACATTTTCCTGTTTGGGTAGCATTAAAAGACAAGCAAATAGGAGTGAAGGGAGATTGATTAAATAGGCTATATCGTCTGTTTTAACTTGGTCATTGATACTTACAGACTGCGGAGTTGAGTTGAGGTTGGCTAATTCTGAAGTGAGTCTGCCGGGTCAAACTGATGAAATCTGGGAGAACGACTCGAAGAATGAAATACGCTTTGTAAAATTTTGACAGACCGGGCGGCTTTCCGAAAGAGGTGGATGCAACCAAGATGCCGTTAGCTGTTCCAGATATTATGTAGTCTGTTATTTCAGTCTAACGAAGTTGTGGTAGATATCTTGGTGTTGGATACTCAAGCGGCATGATTGGAAAAGCAGGATCGACGATTGCAGCTTCTGATTTACGACATGCATTGAGTCCGGTAGCAAACTCTTTCAACGGTTTGCTGGAGAGAAAATTTAACGTTCAGATGTATTTCCTGGAAATATACATCCAAGTGGAGTCATTGGAAACTAATTTTGGTCAAAAGTTGGTATTCACAGCCAACTATTGCAAAAAATACATGTATTAAGAACGAGTGAGGTGATATAAATAGATTGCCATCTTTGACATTTAAAATTCAAATGAAAATACTGAAGGCTAGTTGATTCATGTGTCTAATATGCAATTTCTCCTCGCCTCACCTTTTCACATCATATGTAGATGTATAAAGATCTTGGGCCAAGGCTACTTTTCTCCAAATGCTGAACTAGATTTCTTGACTTGACACAATTGCAGACATGTCCCTAATTCCACCATGAGTTGGATTCAGTCATCGACCTGAATGTTACACACCATAGCGTAAAATTGTCTGTGAAACTCGGTGGCTTCATAGATTTATGTCACGTCTATAAGAATCTATATCCACTCAATGGAAGCCACCAAGCGCAGGTGAATTACTCTACATCAAGATCGTGAATGTCAGTTTCCATAAGCAGACTACTCATCGCTCCGCAAGTACCCATCGATAATTCTGATGATTTCTTTCAAAACCTATAGTAATGTCTATTGTGACAATAATGTATCATCGAGATAATTTATCCAGACCTAGTTCCCAACCAGAACGAGTTTGTTGTCTAACTGGAGGCACCGTGAAGTGTTAACGCAAGGTGAATATGAAACTACATAACCACGTACACCAAAGGTCCGCAAATCATATTTTACTAATGAGAACCAAAGCTAATTTAACTTCTCCGCCAAACTAAAGATTCATTATCACAAGCATAGACAGACATGAAGCCAAAAAAATTGCAAATCAACAAGATATAAATAACAAGCTTTCACCTCAAAATTAGTTTTCCAATATAATTCGATTTATCCGCATATTGTCTGGGGATGCAATAAGAAACACTAGATTTTAACTTCAGATATATTGTAGCCTTCTTTTCTGTGGCCTTGAAACATTCGGGTAGCTCTATCACTTTATTCCCTTCCTTGTCCATGGGATGTTTAGTAATTTACATCTGATCAGAAGTGCAGCATACACCTTTTGGCCCTCCGATAAAGTCAGTTCTTCACTAGAACCTTCTATTTCTGACAGGATTGTGAGGATTCATATCATGCTCAGAGAAGTACTTTAGTAAAATATATGGTTGAGGATACACTGCTTACTTCATCAGTGCGCAATCATTACAAAGTGCATCTAGTCGATTTTGCTTTCAGGATCGTAACATCGTAGCTAGACGCAAAATTTTCTTCTCGAAGTCTGTCAATATGTACAAAACTTAAGTACAGTTCACCATACCTCACTGTTCGTGCGGTGGACAGAGGTGGAATTTGGCAGTTTTAACATCTATTCATCTGTAAAAGTCTCAATCGATTATAGAGTTCGACCAGCACTGTTCTCTTCTCTTCCAACTTTCCTCACGTCACATAACATGAGAATATGTCATTTCCTTTCTCGTCTGTTGGCTTGCGAGAACCAATTTCTTTCTTAGGAAGCTTGACATTCTTCGCATAGACAGTAGAGTATTCAGATATTTACACACAAACTGAGTTGTCTACACTCAAGTCCATCTAGGTCAGCAGAGTTCAATCGGCAGCCTGCAGACACATTCTGTCAACTGACTTCCCAAGAAAAAAATACATTGCTCTGTCACAGATTGAACCCAGCTAGTCATACACCATTTATCAAGTATCATCGACATGATTCGGGGCACAATTTCAGATTTGACATATTCTGCTTAAGAAATACCACTCGCCTGTAACTGTTCACTCAAAACTGCAAGCTGTGACCAACCAAACTGCTCTGTGTCGCTAGCGACTATCAACTCTGCACTTCGCATATCAGAAGTTCCAATCTGTCAACTCGCAGATCAGCTGACACAAAATCAACATCTTACGTCCATTTCTTGTGTCTTTGTACCTTATCTTCTGCTGCCGAGTTCATGTTGCTGCTAAACCGTCATTAACATGGCTAGTGTTTATAAAGAGACTCTGTACAGCATCCAAACATTCATTACAAAAACAACCAGAAAGAAAATTACGACCATTCACGCGGTACAATGATGAGGGATCCGGCACGCTTTGCTTGCACTTTTAATGATGCTCGTCAGCTTCCAATTCGGACAATCTCTCCTCTACAACAGACCATACTTTACAACAGAATTCAACTGCACCTAAAGCACGCAGATAACGTGCTAACAAATAGTGGTAGAAATTGCTCACTGTGAAGAGGGCAAAAATGTTTCACTTCACGATAATGGACGTGTGATTACTCCTACCCATGTTACATATACACAAAAGAGCCACTATGCAGCCGTTTGGGACCGGCTCCGAAAAAGGTATGACCCGGACCCTGGTCGCAAGGAGACTAAATCGACAAAATCGACAAATGCCGATTTTGAACTCCAGCTCCACGTCGATTAAAACAAGTTACTACCATCGGCCCAATCCGGTGAGATGGCTTTTCGCCTCGTAGACCTAAACACGGCTTTCTCATATCCCGAAACCCAGAATATGCTGAAGTACGCAAGGTTATGTTCGAAATCGCCTCTTCAAACAAAAGACAACATCAGCATGCGTCTAGGAGATGCAGCCGGTGAATTCCACAATCCAGGCGAGAGACATGAAACAGCTAAATTGACAGAGAAACCCAAGTGCGGGGACTTATGAGGACCGCCTGGATCCTCCAGGAATATTGGTAGCCTGAATTTGCACCGGGAGAGGTCTGCCCGTCCCACTACCTCCGCAGCTGTTGCATCTCATCTGCCCACTTCCACTGCAAGTGCTGCAACCTACATCCTTGTCAGACCAGCGGTTGCACAGGCAAGGCACCCTTCGAGACCCGTTACATGTAGGGCACCGAGAGTATCCCCCAGCCATAGGCTTCTCGTTCTCTGCATCCATGATAGACTTGATCGCCCACGCCCCGGCAATGACTCCAATACCCTGTGCAAGCTGCGTTACCATGATTCCTGGCGACATGCTTGAAGCCTTGTTCAGCAATCTCCAAATCCCCAAACCGAAGCAACAAGCCAACCTCCGACTCGCCGACGACGACGAAGACGACTCCGCTTTCTCGTCGTCCAAACCTAATTACTCAACCGACCGCACCCTGTGCGAAACCTCAGATAGATGGCGATCAGAGCGCTCGACGCAAATTGACGAAGAATGCGAAACAACTAAAAACCACGTCCACGAACTCGACGTCCGAATCAGATGAAAGCAGGAACAGAAAACAGTTGCGCTGGTACAAAGCGAGGAAACGCTAGACTTCCGTGACTTGTTCGGGACTGCGGTTGGAGTGTTGTGATATCTAAGCGATGGTCGACGAAAGCGTGCGCTCAAGTAAGCGAGCAGCGATGGGCGAGGGCGAGACGCGAATGGTGGAGGATGCAGAGACGGGCGAACGAGAGCGCCCAAAAGCGAGATGCGAGTGGACGGCTATGGCGAGACAGAGCCCGACGCACCTGGAGACGACGCGTCAGGCGAGGGCGAACCACGAGGCCCGCGGGCGGGCGGGCGGGCGGGCAGGCAGAGCGGGTAGATCGGTCGGGCACTGCGCACGCAGTCGTCGCGCCTTCCGTTTCCTTACTGCGTCGCCGCCCTCGTCGTCGGAGAGACTCGGAGCGCGTTATCCGCCTGTCTGCTGTCTGCGAGAGAGAGGGAACGGGGAGGGCCATCTAATATGCTGCATCTCGCCACGTGGCGCGCGTTCCGTGGTCGGGTGACATGGTTTGTGTGCATTGGCGATGTGACCTGGTTGCCTCCCTTCCATGCCATTAAATATTGTTTCCTGGTTCCCACCCCTATTCCATTGAAAAAGTATTACTGCCTGGTTCCCTCCACCGTGCTGCCTCTGTGCTCATTTCTCCGTCGTACCGATCCATTCTAAATATTTCTTGTTTCTAAAGCTCAAATGTTTTTCAAACGAATTTATTCGTTTGTTCGAGATTAGAAGTTATAAAAAAGATTCGTATGTTCGTGTAAGTCCTAGGGCAGGTTTTGAACTCCGCGAAAGGATGGAGATATGAATGACAGATATAGAAAAAAAATTGGTCTTCTGGCGTTCCATTGAGTTGAGGAGTATCATATTCAGCAAGGGAAAATAAATATCATCCGAATCCATGTGGTGTCAGACTTTGCAATTCTTTGGACACCCCGGCTTACCACCCAAATAAGAATGTAGCCAAGAGAAATAAAGCGAGGCTCTCTATCTGGTGACCGAAGCATGCTCTATCCCCATAACGAGGTTGTGGAGGACCATGGTCGAGCGGGCCTCAACCTCGGTGTCCGACTGACCACTCGCTGTGCAAGAAGAAGTCGTCGACAGTCGGTTCACTCGGTAGAGAGCGAGAGAACACTAGAAGGGGTGTACGAGGCGGACGTCTCCTGGCTCGCCGTGGTTGGCCTGCATGAGACGTCGATGGGACCCTCCAACTTGGTGAAAAGATCCAGCTCGGCTAGCTGTCCTCACCGCGGACTCATGTTTATGTGATCCTCAAAATGTGACACAAGGATGGCATCGGCCATTGGAGGCAAACGAGGCCTCGCAGAAACTCTGGCTTGCCCCAGGAAATAAAACCAGGACAATTGTCTGCCTTGTGTTTCCGAAAAGCGGTTGGACGCCGTTTGTGTGGCACCGGGGCCTTCGGGCTCGACCATCTGCCACGATAAACAAGGGGCCCCTCCAGTTTGGAGCAACGCGTTGCCCGCGCTCGGGCACCCCGAATCTCGCTGGGCACGGTTCGTCGTGTGGCTTCCACCACGTTGGCTGCCCGCGGAGCCTGCCCGCCACGTCGAACGGCGGTCATATCTTTTGCTGCTCTCCGGTGCTCCTTTAGCCGTCTCCGTGCCACGTGTTCCTGCTCCTGGCCGTCGACCTGTGCCCTCGTGGGCAGATCCCTCGAGTTCCCCCAACTTGCGAACGGCTGCGTCGAGATGACGGAGTTTCTGACGTCCCTCGGAGCCACTATAGAGACGTTGACAATGCACTTCCGGCCCATGTCATCCGTTCCCATATTCTTCGTGTTCACTGGCCGTCAACCGACCCGCCGAACTACTCCTGGAGGCCCAGCTCGACGAGAGGTGCCCGACGGTCACCGGAGCACCGGTCGTCCTGGTTTTGACCATCAATACGGCCCTCATTGGTCTGGCGGTCAACATCGAGGTCAGTGCGATCAGCTGATGGAGATTAATCTACTGAAACGCATAGGATGAGATTGTACGACTTCATGAACTAAGTCTACTTTGTAAATTTCAATCTGACCTAATCTAAAACCAGATGCATTACATTGAAGAGAGGGGCTACTTATCCCTCCGTTAGGGCTAATTAGCCTCAACCTCCTATACCTTCTTCTCTGATTTGTGGAACATCTTATTTTACAAGTAGTTGCTATTGCATCCCTACTACCCTGAATCACCAATAAGAGAACTGCGTATAGTAAAATGAGGGCTAATTAATGATAACTAACCGCTCCATACATTAAATTTTCATAAAGAGAGCATACCAGAATCATATAACACAAATGGCGTGTAATCTACAGAAAGTACTTTATCATACGTTCTTGTACTGTATTACGTAGACCATACTACGTATTCTCTCATGGGAATATACCTGGCCGGTAGATCTCGATGATCGGTAGTCTGGAATATACGGATTCCGCAGACCTCGAGATGGAGGATCGGTAGGAACCCAGGGTTGTTCGTAAACCAGAGGTCATTCCCCATCAGGGTTCGAGCGGGGATTTTAACGAGAATGACGAGCATTTTAGCGAGTATTTAGCGAGTCAGGTGTAAAGCCAAGCACGAAAACGTGGGGAGGTTACGTCAGGGACTTTGAACAGTTCAAGTAAGGCGTAACCAAATAGACTGACTTTCGCCACTTAAAAATTGACCTAGAAAGTAAGCAAATCTGGGCTGCAATAGGACATGTTTCCATTGTGATTCTTCTGGGGATTGCCCCGTGTTTCATCCGTGTACGGCTCGATTGGTATATATGAGTTTAGGGTTTAAGGTTCTAATATTCGATCGCTTCCTAGTTGTTGGGTTTCCGGGATTTGAAGCTAAAGTTAAAAACAGGGCGAAAGATAGGACCCGAGGATCTCTTCCATCAAATGAAGAAATTGGATCCTTTTTGGTGTCACTGAGCGTTTGTTTGATTTCATTAAATGTCCGGTAAGAAGGCATTGTCTTACCAAAAATTAGTAGTGAGCATCGATCTAGAAGCGATTTCGACTTCTATATATTGATGGAAGGACGACGATCGCATTCTTCTTACTTTTCTAATAGGTTCATATTTTTTCTTTCCACATCTACAATGATACATACCCCAATATATTTGCTCTGCTACGAAGGGGGTTCTCTTCGTATATTCCTTCCTGGTTCGGGACGCATTTCCCATCTATTCGCCCATGGTTCGGTCCTTCTGGGACAGCCGCCAAACTTGCAGGAGGAGTCTCTGACTGGGACTTGTGACCCCAGTAGAGTGAGTTGAGGTGGGCACACTAACACATACCCGGACAGGAACTGACCCAACGAAACGGAACCGTGGTCAATTGACGGAAGATGGACGTCTCGTGTACTCAATGGTTCTCTTCAACTGCACGTCTTGAATCATGAGCTCTGTCCGGCACTCTGAAGCAAGCAGACCAGGACTTCAGTCGCAGTCGACGGAAGCGTCCAGGCTCGCGAGTGGTGGTCCGTCCGACTCTCAGAGTCGTCGGCTGCTAACCCGAGGTCTACCGGGCGGATTGTAACCGTAGCTACCGGTGGCGCTGCGGTGGAAACTTCCCTGGGGCCCGGAAGGAAGGAGCACGACCTTGAGCTGGCTGTGTGTGTGGTGGTGCATGGCTTGGGACGCCATCCAAACATAGGAGCTGGTTGCAGTTGATGTCGGGAGCGCAGCATCAATTTCGTCCTCTCTTCGTACTGGGAACCACTAAACTCGTCGATGGCGTCGAATGGGGTGACTTTGGCAAATCAAGTTTTTATTTGTACAGTCAGCGTCTGTGATGTCTGCTTGCTGACAGACACACAAGAAGTGATTTTCAGCTACAGTTTACGTCGATCGGAATGCCGCAGGCCACGTTTTCAATCGTTTCGCCCACAGGTCCACACAAAGGGCCGTGGACCGAAAGGAAGGAAGGCAAATGCAATCTGGTCATCGTGAGAGTAATTTTTTTCCAAAGCACAAAAGAAGCAACAGTTTACAAGAGACCCCTTTGAGTTTTTGAAGGAGAGAATGCCTTCTCTCTATCCCTCTGAGCGGTTGGCAGCAATTTGTTTTCATATCAGGTGAAAACATGAAATTTTATCACGTCCTTGTTAATTTCATCACACTGTTCGCTGATGAGAGATGTAATAAACATTTTAGAAGAGGCGAATGTATCGCTTTCGCCACTTTCTCGCACGAGGAGGAGCAGGATGTTTCGTCCATGACAGTCGCCCTGTTTTTATGCATGAGAAGCGAGGGAAGTTAAATAGTTGATGGTGGCTTCGGATTCACGACTGGACTGTCGAACCGGTGAACGAAGGACGTGAGCACAAAATCAATTTTTAGTCCTCATTGTCGATACTTCCTCCTTCTCAACGCAGGATCTCGTGCCCCGACGTCAATTCGCAGTTGAAGATCGAGATCGGACGGCCTGATCCCGTCATTGATTTGAGCTATACGCCGATCAAATTACGATCGAATGCTGCTCCCGAGCCTTATTAGAGTGGATCGGCTTTTGGTCGACGGTCAATCGTTATACCAAAGCACGCAATACTAGGAGTTGCTGGTGTGAATGTGTTGCTTCTCGGTTAACCCGAGGTAAGCAATCTGAACGAAGATTTCGAAGTTGGAGTCAATTCGGAACGGACTAGTAACTGGCGTACCAGATCGTGGTTCAGTCGAGTTAAAAGGACCGTCAGGGTTTGCCGGTGTGTTCAGGAGGCATAAGAGGGCAAAGGATTTTCAATTGAACTTCCCTATTTCACATGTATCACCTGCAGTACTGTAATTCTAAGAACCGCGATGGAACATTTCAGTCTAACGAACTCTCGCACTGAAGCTTCTTCACTTCATTCGCTGAAGTTTCGACATCTCAGAAGTGAAGTACGGTGAATGAAATCTGCAAGAAGAGGATCCTACCATCTTTCAAAGTGTCAGACGCTGTTTCCTCTGCTCTTTCGACCGAGGAAGACAATCGGGGTCTGCACGGGTATAATGAATCCGACTGGGGTAGTTAAGAAACATTGCATTTGCTCGATCTTTCTGGGCCATATAGGATTTTTTTCCCAGAAGTGAAAATTTACAACAATAAGTCATTTCAGGAAGATCGCATTCGATTAAGATTCGACACTGGGAGGTGAAGCTCTTCTGACCGAAAATAAACGTTCCTGCCTTGGAACAATATTGGCTTCTGACAAGGAACATGCACGTGTTTATGTTATCTTCCTAGTGAGCTTTTGTGCATCTGAGCTTCAGTATAGTTGGCACGGAAAGTGAGCTTTACTTAATTCACGTTCAGCTTTTGTCATTAATCTTCACCACTTGAAAGTGATTTGCGCTGGCCTCTTCATGTTCGACCTTTCGTAAAATTGGTATACAAATGTCAAAATCTGTTATTGAAGCCCAACCTTCTGAGTTCACGGTGAACTAGAGTGTTCCATGTGTTGAGAGTGTGTTGAAGGTGCCAGATTTCGATCTAGATTATCCTGCAAAGACCTGTCGGTTGAATTGGCAAGGGAGCTACTGACAATCGTGAGAATCTCCGTGTCAGAGTCTGATACCTGCTGGAACTTATGTTCAATAGAAATGCGCATCACAGTCCTGTCTATTCAGTTTCCAACTGGAGGAATCCGTGTTTGTACTCGGTCATCCATGTCCGTACATACCAGTGAAGAGTTTCTTGAAAACTGTTTGACAAGAATGGGGTATACAAGAAACCTCGGTACGTTCAGATCGATTCAGCCTCGACACATCATGGTAGAGTCCTCACTTCAGGCATGTGAACCTAGTGGAGTCCAAGCTGGGTACTAAAACATTGTCATTTTCCTTGTAACAACCTAGCAGTTCGTGGAGGAACAACGAAGTCGATGTCACGAACGAATCCTCGATTCCCATTCGGTCGATCTGTAAGTCGGGTCACAGAGTGATCCAGACTTGGAGATAACGGAGACGTCCTTCCTGTCCCACTCGGGCTGAAGACGAACCTTCGATCAGGCTAGGTTCATTCCGTATTTTTCTGATACAAGCATCTGTGCTTCTGAATCACAGGCATAAGTATCATCAATATGTCAAAATTTTCTTGGCACTGATATACTCAATGCTTGTGTACTATGCTAAAATGATTTGCTGGCTTGATGTAAGAAAAGTGAGCTGAACATGAACTGTGATTTATCACTTCTTCCCAACTGGAGTCTTGATGCTTTCAAGACCTATTGAGCATGTTAAGAACTAGTTGTCCTTCAAACGCACATCGATCATTCCGGTGATAACAAACATGGGATTGCGGAGATTTTCTGCGTCATGACGACAGTTTTTTGAGCATATTCTGTGCATGTCCGTGTCCTCAAAAAGCTAGACTGGCATGCATCCTGATAATTCTGATGAACGGTACTGGTCGCTACTTTTCTCACTGTGAAACGCTCCTTCCAGAAAACATTTCCACTGCAGAAGGAGACGGACTTATCCGAGCCTCGACTTTATTTATCTAATTGTTTCATTATTCACATACGTAGGCTTATTGATATATTTTGTGTCCTCGATTCCAGAGGCAGAGGCAGAGTGAGGAGACCGAGGTTTAGTTCTCCAAGACCTCATAGTCTCCAACCGCTGCAGCTAGACTCGGACAATGCATCGTGATGGACGGGAGGAGTCAATGACTTTATCGGGGAAAAAAGTTTAGAAAATTGAGAAACGTGCTCCATATTCTCCAGGAGGGATCTGTCTGTGAAGGGTGAATATATGCAGCCGGATGCAATCTGTGTTCGAATATGAATGTCTTCATCATCGGTGCTCCCCCCGCGACGCCCGGCACGATGAGAGAGGCTCCGATGGTTCCCTCCTTGCATTGATCTGCAATAAGTGGGAAACGTGATCCGACCTGACCTGTCCGCCACGACGCTGTATCCTGATCCAACTCGAGCAGCATAGGAACAAGGCCCAATTTTAGAGGGTTGCGAAATTCGATGGTGATAAGTTGCTGCCGAAATTTCATTTGGGCTCATCTTTTCAAATTCCGATTGTTTCGTGCTGTTGACGTACACAGCATCTCCCTCTATCTCTGTCTCTCGCTCCGATCCCACAGCATCCATCCGTACTGTTGTGCACGGTGCAAGGCTCAAAATAAACGTGCAGTGAAACCACCTTCGTGCACGGCGGATGGTCAGTTTGAGGCAAGCGGCGTCCATTCTGGAGCTGCGCTCGCCCAAATGCAGGGTTTACGACCTTTCGATCAGAGTCCTGTCGACGGGGGTCACGATTCATATACTGTAGAGAAGTGATACGAACTGCGCCACAGTTTTGTCTTTTCGGGCGGGGATTTGGGGGTTTGATCAAGCGAAGGATTGCGCGGAGGGAGGAATTGGATCGAGAATCTTGGAGAAGAACAGGGCAACGCAAACCGCGACTGTGCAGTGACCCACACGGGAATAGTTGACTTTTCGCGTCGTCCGGCTCCGCTTGCAGGGAATCTCGATGGCAATGTCTGTCCATCTCGTAAAGGTGAGGCTGGTTTTCTCGGAGCGACGATGCTATCTGAGTGTCGACGCTCCTAGACTATCCACCGCTCCCGGCTGCTGCTGCGTGCTCAGCAGCGATCATACTCTCCAATAGAATGGCGATCCACATCTAAGCCTGTTCTTCACGTGAATGGTTGCAGATCGATCATCGGTCTGCGAGAATTCGTCCCCGATGGAGAAGATATTGACCAGTGGCAAGTTCCACTTCCCCCTGAGTATCGTATGGATTCTCCGAGCGTTGATTTAAGAGCAGTTGAGGCCGACTGACATCGCATGCTCCACTCCTCACTGCGTACGTATTATGATGCTGTAAGTCCTGCGATTTGCCGGCATATAGTCCGACATACTTACATACTTACTTCGTGATCACTCCGATCGAGCTTCTTTCTTCTGCAAGGGAAGGGTCGATGCGTCCGGACCAGAATGCACCCCCATCGGCCTCCAGCGCACCGGATCTGATCGTCGTCCATGTCTCCTCACCCCCTATACCAGTGCCCCGGCCGCCTCAGTTGGCCCGTGAGCTGGGCGTGAGAATCGGCCCGACATCGACCTGATCGATCCTACCAGCGGATCTTGCCTGCGGATCCTTGCAAGGGTTTGTGCTGCCGAGCTTCCTTTGCGCTCTGCTCTGCTCTGCTCGAAGCAAAAAGGGGTCTGTCCGGCTGCCGCAGGCGAGGAGTTCCGGTGCTTCCCCGTGCCTGCCTGCCTGCCTGCCAGCCAATCGAGGCTCCGGGGATCCAATTCTGCGACTATGAGAAGGAGTAAATCTGGAGGACACTCGAACTTCTACTCGACATCCAAGGAGGCGCCGTCGCGAAGTCGGAGCAGGAAGCCAGAGGAAGGAGCGGACTTCGGAAGCAGAGGACCGGCGGAGAGAGATGCCAGGCCCAAGAAGAGAAGCACGTCCACGGCCGGGGACGAGAGCAGATCATCAGGATTTCGAGAAAACGCCAGGCGAGAAAACGTGATCGAGGAACTGAAGCAGCTGCGCCAGCGCGTTCAGTCGCTGGAGAAGAAGGTGACCGAGCAGAGGCAGGCGATGCTGCAATTGGAACGGTCCAACTCAGCCATCACCGAGGACGTATCGGAGGTCGTGAGGAGAGTGGAGAGGGCTTATGCCGACGCTACGAGATTACGAAGCCCCCCTCGCAGTCCATGTATCATATCCAGCCATAGAACCTCTCGGATTTCAGCTTCGTCGAGCTGCAGACCGAGCTCGCGCTACTCGGCGCTCTCCGCCGCCGCCGCCGACGACCATCCGCACTCGCATCCTGCTGCTGCCGAGCGAGAGCAGCAGGCGTCGGCGTCGGCGGCCACAGCAACCTCGTCCGGCATTGCACCGGCTGCGAGGGATCCGAATTGCAAGTCCGAAGCCGACGCCAGCACTCTCTTCCCAGGCCTGCCGGACGAGATCACCATCAATCGCATCCTCACGCTCGTGCCCTGGTGCAAGCTCTACCTCCTCTCGACGCTCAACCGCAGCTGGCAGCACGCCTTCCGCAGCCGGCAAGTGCACGACGCGCGAGCGCGCTGCGGCGCCCAGCAAGCGCTCTTCGTGCTCAGCCATCCGTCGCTCGTGAGCCTGCTGCAGAAGTCGTACGACTTCAAAAAGCTCGCGCTCTCGCTCTACGACGCGGCGCGCAACGCCTGGCATTTCCTGCCCAGCCCGGCCGACGGCGTGGCCAAGACCTGGCGCCTGGGCCACTTCGAGACCGTGTTCGTCGACGGGCGCCTGTACGTGCTGGGCGGCCTGTTCAAGGAGAAGAGCGGCGAGGTGCTGCACAAGGGCGACGAGGTGCACATGCTCGACCTCGGCGCCTGCGAGAGCACGTGGCGCCGCTGCGCCAGCATGGGCGTGGTGCGCGAGCGCTTCGGGTGCGCGGCCGTCGACGGCAAGGTGTTCGTCTTCGGGGGCCTGGAGCCGCACGCCGACAAGTATGAGTACGAGTACTACCGCGACCGCGAGATCTGGACCAACTGCGAGGTCTTCGACCCGGCGCGCAACGAGTGGAGCTCGGTCGAGTCGATGCCGTTGGGGCGCATCGGCCACAGCGTGGTCGACTTCCGCGGCGAGCTGTTCATGTACGGCGGCAACGCGCGGCCCAAGGGCTGGTCGCGCTACGAGGACCTCGAGGACATGAAGGACTCGGACTTCACGGACGCCTACAATCCGGCCTGCGACCGCTGGCGCCAGGTCGAGAATTTCGCCAAGCTGTGCCCGCAGGGCGCCCTGCTGCTGCTGCCAGGCCAGGACGGCCAGCCCGCGTGCATCTGCGACGTGACCAAGGACGCCATCTTCCGCTACGACGACGCGCCGTTCGGCTACAAGCGCACGCGCATCCAGTCGCACAAAATGGTCTCGCCCGGCTGGTCCGAGGAGCAGTACGTGTCGTCGTGCGTCGCCGTCGACAACGAGCTGTTCGCGCTGCTGGTGTTCCGCAAGAAGTACTACGCCGACGAGGGAGGCATCCTCTACTGCAGCCCCGAGGCCGTGCTCATGAAGCGCTCCTTCGACCTGCACGACGCCTCCTGCGCCTCCGAGCCCTCGGGCTCGGGCTCGCTCTCGCCCACCTCCTCCTTCTCGGCCTCTTTCTGGACCTCGCGGTCCAGCGCCCCTCGCCCTCCCGCCTTCGTCTACTTGGACAACCTGCCGGCCAGCGTCGAAGCTCTGTGCCCGACCAGGTCTCGTCTCGTGTCCGTGCAGTTGTAGCCGAATTTGCTCTTGAGCCCTCCCCTCCCCTTCCCTTCTTTCCAGTTCCTCTTCTTCGTCTTGTTTCTGTCGCCATTCGCTCTCCTACGTGAGGAACATGAACGCTTGAAAATAGACGCAGCAGCGCTGCACTTGGCATGGATGGATCTCTCATACTCTGAAACTTAAACAACACGTTTTCTCCGTAGATTGTAAATATTACGGATTTCCGACGTCGCCGCTGATACGTACTCCTGGAGTGAGGCCAGTTGCTGGAAATTGTATTGTGTAATTTGTTGCTTATTCGAATGCGCAACCTGACAGGGCCAGTTTCCATCGTGTAAGCACCTGTCGAGGCCAGATTCAGCCAACTCGGCTCGTCTCGTCTCGTCTCAGTCCTCATGATGTGCTCGGGACGCTGACCCACTGTATAACATTACGACATTGCCCGAACTTCGTTTGTTAATTTTCTCCAGTTTTCGCACGACTGTAAATTGCTCATATCTGCTTGTTCTTCACACGGCCTCATGCTCTCAATCACTCCACTGATGAGCCAGGAAGCCCCAGATCAGTTACTGAATGTGAGCACGCATGTTTCACCTGTCGCATAGGAACGGCCAGCCATTCACGCATACTGCTGCGAAGAACTTACTTTTCCCACGAGCATCCGAATTATTGCCAACTTATCCCGAAATAACGTGTAAGGACACGAAACCTCTTTCCTGAACGAGAATGCGGTCACACGACAATGGAATACGACCTCGACTGCGTAATCTGGAGCTGGCGGGGTCAGATTACGCGCGCTGAAGTGAAGTGTCGCTAGGGTCGGTCGGGGTCGGTCCGGGTCGGTCCTCGCATACCCCAGTTCCCGAGTGAATCGGTTGCTTGAGCCACGCCTTCTACGTCTTGCTTACCCTCTGAACTCCTCGTCCACCGCATTTCCGTGTTTTGGTACATCTGAGAATATTGTGCCCCAGATGAACTCGCACACGATTAAGCAGGACCTACCGTCTCAAAAGTCAATCCTGTCACTTCGATTCTGTCGATGGGCCGGGGTAGAACTCGAGCGGGTGTTTCTTGACGTAACCATGTCAATCTGATCCCAGGTTTGCGGCTAGGTCAACAGCAAATAGCCAGCCGTCGAAGCAAATCAACGTGCCCTCCTTCACCTGAATGTGACCCGCCATGGTCCTGACAATGGACAACATAAAGCGAGGACTATTGTATCAGAAGCAAGTCAAGTGAGAGAAGGGAGCTTTCAGACTAACCCTGTCAAGTCGTTCACCCTCGGCACAAAGGGCAGAAACCTGAATGCAGAGCTGCGTTACATGCTGTTAGGCAGTGACCATCCCGAGGTAAATTTTGATATCTCCAGCTCACACAACCTACTTGACAGTTTCTGAGAAAGTAATGCGACAGGGGTTTGGTTTCTCACAGGGACTTCCAAATGGAGATCTTCTCGACTCATCCACGTCTCTCCTTCTAACTCTGGGTTATGTGATAGCTTACGGTCAAGCAGGTCTGGAGCGTAGTACCAAAGTCCCAAAGTGGGGTACAAGGCATTGAGAGTCGGCATGGCAGCTCGAATAATTGTTTAATAATTGTTTTTCTCAAGGATTGAATCATTTTAATCCTCGAACTTCCCGACAGGCATACAACAGACTGAGAACGCGGATCATCTGGTTTCAATCGACGAACGATGCATTTAATAATTTACAGATGCAAGTCACCGGTAAACCTCTAATAGGCAACTCTGCCTCGAATTTGAATGAAATCGAGAAACCAGACCGAAAAGAAGGAATCGTTTCGAGCAAAATTTTGTTTTCTTGTCGTTTTCACTATTATCCACTGTAGTGCATAGATCATGACTACAGCATTGCTTTAACCAACTTTACAAGCTGAATGGGTTTGAATAGATTCGTGCTGCCGCATGTGTGAGATGTTTTATCCTTGACCTTGTCTTTAGCAACAGTCAACACATTCTCGAAAGGCTTTATGCCTCATAGAGATGATATATTGGGTGTACATCTAACCCCAACAAACAGAGATGGATCCTTACAGCAGCCGGCTATCGAGGTAATACTCAATTCAATCGTGGAATACACCCAGCGCTTACAACTTGGTCTCGTCACTCTTGAATGCAACCGACGGGGGAGCATTGTGTCCACCACTTCCACCAGAACAATGCTGGTTCAGCACCTCAGGGATAAAAAGGTTTTTGGTCAAAATATCCAGGTCTCTTGGCCACCAATGTTGTGCTACGTTCTTGCCCTCCACATGGATTCGGGCCCCTCCAAACAGCAACTCAGTCTGAAGTGTGTAAGTTTTGACGAGGACCTACGCTACTCCAGATCAGAAACGGTCTGGATGTATCGGACCCAACGAACAGACATAGTGTTTTCCTGGTCTAGTGGGAATCCTTTCAGCGAACCCTGCATCCGTAATCATTTCGAAGCAATTCAAAATACATTCTGCAAGAATGGTTGACAGAGAGAACCTTCGAACAGGTACACATTCCTGAGGGCCAACGCATAGATCTATCTCAGCATGATGTCAATCTGCATTAAACTTCGGATAGATTGTTGGAAAGGAAAAAGATCACATTGCCCAACACATCATCGACGTAAGTTTCTGATTTTTCGCCTCTATAAAACCTATGGGCAGAAAAACGAAATGTACAGGATTGGTCATTTCGTCGAAAAGTAACTTCGTACGTCGTAGTAGGTGTCAACGACTCCGGGTCTCATATTTGGTATTTTGATTCTTCCCACAACTCAACTCAAAAACTAGCGAATCGCGTACGGATGTGTGCAAGTCTAGTGAGAATAAAAGGCACAAACTTGTACCTAACAACGTCAAGTTTCCGCAAATTCCGTTGCTATCTTCCTCGATGCCTTCAAACGAATCAAAGTACGAAAGGACCTGTCCACTAAATTTGCCGGTTAGGATTCTTTCCTTTTACGGCTGGCAACATATCGGCAGTTTTTCCAAGCCCCAGTGCCCCACCCATATCTCCCACGCACCAATGCCTCGGCATGCAACTCTTCTCCTCCTCCTCCTCCTCCTCTTGCTTGCTGCCCCGCCGGCCTTGGACCATACCCTAAATTCTGCTGCTCTGCTCCTCAAGTGCTCACCTTCTCGCGAGGTCAGTTGAAGTGGCCTCCTGTGTCGCTGTCTCTGTCTGGGTGCATCTCGAGGCTCTCTCGTTGGCCCGAAGCTCGGTGGATTTGTTGTACCTTTCGTGTGCATTTCCGTAAAAGTGCACAATGGTCATTCGAGCCAGAAACTCAACCGTTCTCTCTCCATGTGCTTCTTGTCTTCTCGACCAGTTCTTTAATGAGTTGTCGAATTCGGCAATGATGTGTTTCTTATCTTCTCTTCTCTTCCCTTCATCACTAATCGACTTGATTGTCACTCGTTCGTTCGTACATGTGTTATCAAAGCCAGTAACAATCACACCACACTTGTTGTTTGACTCTTGAGTTTCATCAAACTCAGTTCTTCAAGATTAGTGATGTCCTTTTGTGAGACACGTATACGCATCTCCACCAGCTTAATTCTGTACGATTACTCTGGGAAAAAAACCTTTTATCATCTACATGATTATGCTTCTGTGTCCTTACATTTCTATAATTACATGTACATCTTGTTTTACACTGAACAATGCCATGTGAAAAACTCATTTCCAAGTCATAATCGATAGTTGAATATTTTTTCCAATATATTAATTGAGAGTGTGCTATATTTTGAGTTTGATAACTATAATAGTTTGACTAGTTATTGCTATGAAGGAAAGAGAGAATTGAAGGCAGCACTGAAAAATGAACTGCGCGGAATATTTCAAATTGATGATTGTAGTCGTAAAAGCTGACATTGAAGTGTTTTGTCTAAAGAATCCTCTCCAGTAAATAATTAAAAAATACTAAATACTTAAAAAAATGAACAAATGAGGACTAGACACCTGCATAATATAGTATAATGCATGAAAGAAAAGTATGTTTCATTCATGTCTTGGGAGTTTCAATTCACTCAACTGAGATGTATACTAAGTGTGTCATTTAGATTTTCAGATACATCGCCTTTGTACATGCGATATTTCTCGTGTTCACATTTTATTCATGTCTTATCACTCATGTTCACGTATCGAAGTGACGTGGATAATGTAAAAAACTCTTCACGAAATATTGGATTTAGCTTAAGCAGACTCATAGAAAAATTATTCATACATAAAGACTATATTTTAATACTTGAATTGAAGAAGTTGTGATCAAATATGACTTAAAATAAGAATCTTAGGTAAATCCTCATTTTTACCTCTCAATAAAACTTTGACATAATTTATTTTCATTCAAATTCTTAATTATGTATTGAGTTGATTTGATATTTAAAACCATATCCTACGGTTAAAATTTGAATATAAGCAAGTGTCTTTATATCAATTTAGTAAATCAATCAATTGTCAAATCTAGAATGAGTATTATTTATAACATCAAAATGTTGATGAAATTTATATGATCTGAATAAATCATTGGAATAACATCTTACATCCTATTCAAAGTTTGATAAGTCCATATTATATCTATTCAAAAAAAAATTATGATTTTTTAAAAGCATCCTAGATCAAGAAATGCCTTGAATGATATAAAATAACATTAAACAAGTCTTGGATGTTACAATAATGATGATTTTCATTTAAAAAATTACCATGCACTTAATTCATTTCCAAAGCATATCCAGCACTACATATAAATTCAATTCCTGCTGAGTCTGTTAGGAATCTCAAGCAATGCGGTAAAGGCTTCATACCAATTGAAATGAAATTGAGAAAATCTATCTAGCTCAAATTTATATTTAGAATCTACATCCTTCAAATTTTTCAAGTTGGAGTGATTTCCAAATGATTAGAATATATAATTTTGTACATAACTGTTCATTTAGTCTAATATAGAGAAAATATGAAAGTAAGGCTTCACAACGACAATAGTAAACACTTCTTCAGATGTGTTTTATCTCCATGTGTGCAAAAATGGCCTCTGCGTTTCATGCTAAAAAACAGATTCAACACATTTGCAATTGTTCTATAAAATACTTATCAAACGGCCGAAGACCAACTTCTCGGACGAGATGTGAAGTTCTTTGTTAAGCTAAAAATTACAAATGATATCGTATCCAATGTCCGACGCAAAAGGAAGAAACTAAAAACGTTCAAGAGAACGCACATTCTTCTTCCGTGGAGTGAAACACAATCCGTTCGCCTTCACAAAAGCGACTTTGGAGCGTTAGAATGCGAGAGTTCAAAAGGGCTCTGGTGGGGGCTGCCGAACGCTTTGATGGATCTAAAGCTTGCAAAAGCTGCATAGCATGTCAATTGCCTCTATGGGATAAGTCAATCGAGCAATCAGAACCTCGTGTCCTTTTGGAACTCGAAAGACCACTCTTAATTTGGTACTCGTCCATCCTATCCAGGTTGGAGGAGCAAGGATAAATGCTGCCCAAAGAGGCTTTCCACGAATCGACATCAGCGTTTCGTGGTGTTGTTGGGGCTCGTTACGGCTTGTGGTTCTTCTGAGTACACACTCCTTTTCCACAGGATGCCACCAGGAATATACACTGCAATGTATTCCAGACCTACAGTAGCTTCGAGAGTACAAGTTAGTTAAATTTGGCTTTCGCGAATGCTGAGGAGATTGGAGGAGATTGGTGCCGCGGGTCATGAAGGCAGCCAAGTTTTCAGGCCAGTATAAGAGCGAAGACTTGACGGTTCGGGACGGAATTTCGCAAGCCAAGGCCCAGCAGTCCATCTGCGAGGCCATCTTCAGCGCGCTGTGTGGGAAGGCCACAAACGAATACGAGTCAACTGATTTAAGATAAAGAACCGGCCGATGTAGCCAAGCACTTACTTTCCCTGCAGATTTTTCACTGATTCTCTGATCGATCGATTGATCGATCGATCGGTTAATTAGGTTGACGTTCCGACTTGTGGCAATTCGCGTTTGCCCCACACTCTGCAGCACGCTGCGAGTTCGTCTGGCGTAGGCCGAATCGACGAACTACAGCTGTGTCTGGATCCCGTGCGAGCGCCTTTCTCATGCGCTGTGTGCACAGCCAATAGTGGCAATCCAACGCAATCCGCGACATAGTTGTAATCCAACTCGAACCACCGAGCCGTCTAAAATTGGCTTCATTCTCTCCCAAGTCACCTCGTCATGTACTCAACCCCAGCCCCTCGCTGTTGACCATCGTTGGTCGGTCGGTCGGTCGTCCATCCTTCCGGTCACCCGGTCAGCGAGAGAATTTCCTGTCCCGGCCAATGGCAGGATCACCGGGGTAAAAGGCAGGCAGCGCGGTCAGTCAGCATTGTCGACTAACTTACTGCCGGGAGCGGATTAAGTAAGGCGGACACAATCCACAAACCGAACCACGTTTTGTTTTGCACCAAACCGGGTAATGCTGTCGAGATTGCCGTATTGCGCGGTCGTCGTGTCCCCACGGCCTACAGAGCCAGCGGGAGCCAAATTAAGAAAGCTCATAGGATGATGGAATAGGCTGAGCTGAGCTGAGCTGAGCTGAGCTGAGCTTAGCTTAGCTTGCGGATCGGCCAGCCCTGAGGCCCTGACCTGAGCAAACTCCGACAACACACGTTCAGGATGATCTACGAAGACAGCGAATCTGGCACTGAATGACACGCTCTGCGGCTCTGCATTCCATTGATTGGCCATTATCTCCGCACTTCCAATTTGTTGGGGATGGGATGGGGGTGTCAGTGCCGTATGAAGAAGGAAGACGAGGGCAGGCAGAAGGAAGGAATGGACCAAGCGAAGGCAAGGCCAGGCAAGGCGAGGCGAGGGAGGAAATGGAGGCAGTGTGTGTCCGCTCGTAGCACAACTCGTTTTGTTTATGATATCACTGTAAACCATATGCTAGTCTGTCATGTAGGTAGGGGAGATTGCTTTTTGGGTTCCAAGTTAGGAGAGCTTTTTTGAAGTAAAGCCGAAGTTATATGGCCAAAAGAATGGAAAGACTCCATCATCGAGTCCTCTAAGTTGGAAACTAGCATGGTGTGATAAGGATAGGCTGCAATAGCATCAATAAGAATTATTTCATATTTCACCTAATCTATCCAAACTGTAAAGACGATAATAGGTCTCTATACTGTTGAGCATCCAAATAATCATCCCGTAAAGTGATTGCTCTCGATACAGGGAGGTTTAAAATCTTCCCCAGAAAATCTACCCCGAGTTATAAAGACAATGAAACCCATGTTGCATGATTATCTAGTCTCTCCCACGCTGTCTCTTGTTAGACAGTCTAGGGCACTCCTATACTATTAGACTTTGCCACTCTACTCTCCACACATCCAAAAGGATGTATGATTATACTTTTGCAAAATTGTGTCATGTGTATCACTACGCGGGAAGTATTCAGCAATCTTATCTCATAGCAAACATCACTTTCCTACTCCCATATATATATATATATATATATATAACACAAAAGCTAAACAGTAAAATGTAGAGATGGTTGGGTAGGTATAGGCTAGATGCAAGGCATGGCAAGATAAGATATGAAAGCTAGTAGTATTAGGAATGATCAACCGGATCATGATTATATGACTCCAATCCAATTGATGAATAAAAATATGAGACTCTATGTCGAGCCTTTGGATTAAAAGATATCTCATGTGACCTGATAGTCTTGATAGGAGAACTAGCACAATCTATGTAACTAAATCTCAAGGATTATCGGATGTTGATTTTTTTTCCCACTATGATATCATATAACACACATAGTCCATGAGAAAGATGTTGACAATGCTTTAATCTTTGGCTAGAACAAAAATCGTGGTGGAACATTTTTTGGATAATATGCCTACCCTTCCATCCAGATGATTTCTTTTATTTGTTTCATATGTTTGTTTCATATTATAGAACACACTTGAAGTTCAAAGATATTTTGATATCATCAAAATATGATGAAAATATTTTCCATTTTCACATTATAAAATATCATGAGTAACAAGACGCTGCATGTGAAATACATAGACGCTCCACAATCAATGGTAAAGTAACGTGTATGATATGCTACATGCCAAACCCATAATACAGTAAACACATATATATACATTACACACATAGATCAGGTGTGTTCACACAACAATATAGCAGACAGATGGAAAGATCCCATAAGTAGTACATGGATGGAAACAAACCAAGCTAGTACCATCGGGCTAAGGGCCCCAATATTGTGTCCAGGCAGCCTGAAACACAATGTTTGGACAACACCAACACTCC